TTATTATGGTTTGGGGACTTCAATATTCACTTGTGTTATTTGCTTTATGGAACAACTGTTTGGAAAATGTGTTTTCATTGTGTGTTTTCTTTGTTGGCAAAAAAATAATTTTGGTCCTTTTAGTGGTCTGAAATACTTTTTCTTTCGTTATACTAACTTTTCTCTTCTCTCATTAATAATATCATTAATGATAGTACGTTATGTTACAATTTATATCACTATTGAGACATTATCTCGAAAATGGTTCATTGTTTTTTAGGATTTATATCCTAAGAATGATACAAATTATAACATAACGTATTGTTTTTGATGAGTAATGTCCCAAAAATGAGACAAATTACAATATAATTTATTATTTTTGATGAGAGAGTGTACCAAAAATGGACTTCAAACAAGTAAATGGATCAAAATTGATATTATTCCTTTCTTTGTTCTTTGTTTACAAAGTACTGCTTTTCCTTGTTGCTTTCCAATGATTTTGTAAAAAATTGCAATAGGGAATAAAACAAATAACAAACTACAAAAATAATCTATTGTTTATTAAGAAGAAAACGTGTTTAGGAAAGCTGTTAAGTTAGATTTATTATGTGGAGTTCAGGTTTTGTATAAGAAAAAAAAAATGCTTTTGCAATTTGATAGAGGTTTTAAATAAAAAAAATGTCCTTGCTCAATGGAAAATAGAAAAAAATGAGAAAAAAATTAAAAGAATCAGTATCTATATCTATATATTTATATCTAACAAATTTTGAATGAATTATGATTTTTATATATGTTGCCTATAAAAGCAATCAAGATGAATAATCTCATAAAGATTTTAAGGGATATTTACATGCATCTTGTGCGATTTAAAAACATTTACATTCCAAAAATGCTCCTTCTCCGGTCATTTTCCACCGTATCAAATACTCCCTGACGTGTCTTTTGACATGTCAATCTAATTTTTCCAATCTCTCTCCAATTATTCGGCAAGAAAAAACAGACTTTAATTAGGTTTTTCCTAATCTCTCTCCTTGAATTCTCTCAAAGGGGAGCTTGAATTCTCTCAAAGGGGAACTTGAATTCCTTCGGGGAGGGTGGAATTTATTAGAGCTGTTAGCGTTATTTCTTCCTTTTCGCTTTACCTTTCTCTTCTTTCTGAGTGTGGGGAGTGTTTGGTGTGTTCGTTTTCTATATTCTAGGGTTTTCTTTGGGCTTTCTTCGGGGGGTCTCAGGGATGGGGAGCAAACCCCTGGGTTTTTGTGCGGGTGGAGAATTAGATGAGGGGATGATGAAGAAGCTGCAGACTATATCTCTATCTGCTCATGAGGCGGACGACATAGAGCTGCAGACTAGAGACATTAAAGCTAGTGAGGAGGAATGTGTGATGAGTCTATTTGGTAAAATCATTGGGGTCAGGAAGGCTGGTCTGCTGGGAATTAAACGAACAATGGGGTCCATTTGGAAGCTGCAAGTGCCTATGGAGGTGAAAGAGCTGCAAACAAATTTCTTCCAGTTCACCTTCAACTCCTTGGAAGACAAAAAAAAAGTGCAGCAGGGCATAACTGGATCTATGAGAACCAGTATCTGATTTTGAAAGAATGGTTTTCGGGCTTAACTAGCAAACACAACCAATTTGATGAGATCAACTTGTGGGTTCAGGTTATTAATATCCCCCTGAACTGGATGAGTACTGAAGTTGGTCTCAAAGTAGGGCAAAAATTCAGCAAAGTTAAAAATGTCTTGATTTGCAAGTTGGGAGGGGAAGCAGGGAGTTTTCTTAAGTTGCTAGTGACTCTGAATATAAATGAGCCTATTCCCAGATGTGCATCAGTCAAGTTGGGGGATCAGAAGGTACTCGTAGCTTTTAAATATGAGAGACTGGTGAATCTTTGTTTCTATTGTGGTCACTTTGGCCATCTTGAAAGAGACTGTTCACAAATATTGGCTGACATTGAGGAGAAATCAGTGAAGGAAGGGCAATATAGGGAGTGGCTCAAGGCCAATGAAACTTTTGCTGGAGGCAGATATAGCCAGTCTAGTAGTTCAGGAGTGAAAACCAGTCCACCTATTCATACTTCGAAACAAGATTCTTATGACCCTGCCTTTACCTGCAATGTTGCAAACACACCAGAAGAGGTCCCAGAGGCTTCAAGTGCTCTTATGATGCAGTGTGAACCAGTCATTCAACAGAGTAGGGTGGAGGACAGTGGTGAGCAATTAAATTTAGCCATTGTGAGGTGTAAGGCTGACACTTCAGACCTCCAGGTTGGCACATTGATCATTAACAATATTATGGAAACTGAGGAACCAGACAGAGTGGGGGAATTACCTTCTCAGCATTTGCTAAAGGGTAAAGGGGCCACTCTAGAGGGAGATAGCAGCAAGAAATCAACTTCTAAATGGAGGAGAAGAGCTTATGTAGATGGCAGACTGTTGAGAGTTAATGTTCCCAATGATGACAACATCCCCCTGTCACTTATAAAAAGAAGCAGAGATATGATCTTATTTGAAGGTGAGACAGAGGTTACTGGAGAAGATTTGATGGACAAGAGAAAGAAGACAAATTCAGGAGCTAAGGTGGAGAAGGCCAGCCTCAAATGGCCCCGAGGTGATCAATGAAGGCTATGGTGTGGAACTGTAGAGGACTGGGTGGGCCCTCTACAGTTTCCCAAATCAAGGATTCCAGAAGAATCAACCACCCAAATGTTATTTTTTTGTCTGAGACTAAGAAATCTAAAGACTTTACTAGAACTGTTTGTAGAAAGCTGGGGTTCCATAATAGATGGCATTTGGTGGAGCCAGTGGGCACTAGAGGAGGGTTACTAGTTATGTGGGACTTGGAGGTTGAGATCAACCAGTTGAGGAGCAATGATTTATGTATTCAGCTGGAAATTAGAGGTGCAGAAATGACTGACTGGGTTTGGCTGATTTTTACTTACCTTAGCACTGATAGAAAGATCAGAGAAGATCAATGGCTATGGCTGGAAAACAACAGAAGTTGTTGGGGAGAGTGTTGGCTTACTGCAGGTGATTGGAATGATATTTCCTCAAATGAAGAAAAGAGAGGTGGCATCAGTAGGAGACCTTCCAGCTTTGTTGGGTTTAATGAGTTCATTGAGAATATGCAGATGCACGAGCTGAATCAAAAAGGTTCTTTCTTTACCTGGGGAAACAATAGAGAAGGCGATGGTTATGTTGAGGAAAGACTGGACAAAGTTTTTGTTTCTCTAGAATGGTTAACCAGATTCCCATCAATGGAAGTGTCAAATTTCTACAGAACTGCCTCAGATCATAATGTTATATTTTTTTGTACTGAGAAAGATCACAGTAAAAAGCATAGGAGATTTCAATTCAGCAGCACCTGGCTTAAGATGGGAGGCATTGAAGAGGCTGTTAAAGCAGGCTGGCAGGTTCAGGTAGAGGGGTCTGCTATGTATCAGGTGCACCAAAGAGTCAAAAATACTAGAATGGCCCTTCTTGCTTGGCACAAACCCATTCACACAAATAATGCAGCAACCATCCAGAATCTCACTGCAAAAATGGAAGAAATGAGGAAAGATGGACCTGTAACTGATTGGGAGACTTGGGATAATATGAAGTCTGATCTAGACAGTGCTCACCAGGCTGAGGAACATTATTGGAGACTGAAATCTAGAGCCCTTTGGCTCAGAGCTGGGGATAGAAACTCTCGGTTTTTCCATGTCTCCACTTCACAGAGAAGAAGGTCAAATACTATTGCTAAACTGGTGACTGATTCAGGTGTGGTCTGTGATTCTCATACCAGTATGAAGAGGCATATTTCTCAATTTTATTCTACATTATTCTCTTCTGAAGGCTGTAGTGGAGGAGAGGAACTCTTGCAGCATATTCCTTGCACCATATCTGATGCTATGAACAATGAGCTTTTGAGACCAATTCTGGATGATGAAATCAAAGCTGCTCTGTCTAGTATGGCTGCTGATAAAGCCCCGGGTGCTGATGGTATGACAACCCTATTCTATCAACACTTCTAGCATATTCTTAAAACTGATGTTTGTAGAGCTGTTAAAAAGTTTCTTCTATTCTGGTCATATGTTGAAAAACTGGAAACACACCATTATTACTCTTATTCCTAAGTGTTTGTTCCCTGATTCATTAAGAAGCTTCAGACCTATTAGTCTCTGTGGGGTTCTGTATAAAATTATTGCAAAAATGCTGGCAGAAAGGTTGAAACCATGTTTAAACTCTTGTATTAGCCATGCTCAGACTGCCTTTGTTCCTGACAGAAACTTGATTGACAATGTAGTTATTGCTCACGAAGTTTTCCACTTTTTGCATAGACACAGAACTGGGTTGAATGCTTTCATGGCTTTAAAATTAGACATGGAGAAAGCGTATGACAGGATTGAGTGGGATAGCATTAGAAAAACAATGTCGAAAATGGGCTTTCATTCCAAATTTGTGAAGTGGATCTACAATTGCATTTCTTCTCCCACTTTTTCTTTTAATCTGAATGGAGTTGTGTGTGGTTATGTTTCTTCAACCAGGGGCATTAGACAGGGTGACCCCTTGTCACCCTATCTATTCATTCTTGTTTCTGAATTTTTATCTACCTAGTTCCAGTTTCTGATGAACTCTGGCCGGTTTAAAGGAGTTAAAATATCTCAGAAAGGCCCTATGCTTTCCCACCTACTATTTGCTGATGATGCACTGGTCTTCTGCAAAGCTGATAATTTCCATGCATCCCTGTTGCTTGAGATCTTGGGTAAGTATAAAAGGTTTACTGGTCAGAAAGTTAATCTCAACAATTCTTCTTTGTTTTTGAGTAAAAATTGCTCTGAGGTGGTTAGAGGTAGTATTTGCAATATCCTTCAGGGAGTGGTGGTGAAAAGATCTTCTAGATACTTGGGACTGCCTCTTGGTATTGGTGCTTCTAAAATTGTAACTTTTCAGTTTGTGGTGGATGCTGTGAAAGATAGAATTGGCAGTTGGAAAAGTTGTTTTCTCTCCACTGCTGGGAAAGAAACTTTAATTAAATCGGTTCTGAATGCCTTACCAGTTTTTGTTATGTCCTGTTTTGTTCTTCCAATGAAATTGTGTTCTGAGGTGTCCAAATTACTAGAAAAATTCTTGTGGGCAAATGGAGATAATAACAGCAAAGGCTTGCATTGGCTGGCTTGGGATAAAATGAATCTACCTAAAGGTGAGGGAGGCCTGGGCTTTCATGACATCAAATTGTTCAATAAGGCTCTTATTCTGAAACAACTGTGGAGACTTATAGAGCAGCCTGATCTTCTTATGTGCAGAGTTTTAAAAGATAAGTATTTTCCCAATAGTTCTATTTTTGACTGCAAATTGAACAATGGATCCTCTTGGCTATGGAGATCATGGGCTGCGGTTTTACCATCATTGAGGGAGCAGGTTAATATCATCATCAGGAATGGGGCTCATACTAAAATAAATGACTGCAATTGGATTCCTGGATTACACAAGGGCACCCCTACTCTCAGAACTGATATTGATGGCAGTTTATTTTTTGTTAAGGATCTACTTATAGCAGGAGGTGGTCAGTGGGACACCACACTTGTTAGGGCCTTATTTGCGGAGGAAGATGCTTCCCTGATCTTACAGATTACCTCCTTAAACCCCTCTGCTGCTGACTTGTGGAAATGTAGATTCCAGGATAAAGGGAAATTTTATGTTAAAAAGGCTTATCATTCTTTGCTTGGGAATAAGATATCAAAGATGGCTGTGGGAGAATGCATTGCATTGGCAGTGGGCAATAATAGGGCCAGGAACAGATGCTGGGCACTTAAAGTGCAAGGGAAAGTTAAAAATTTTATCTGGAGATGCTTTACTAATATTCTGCCTATAAACTGCAATTTAGTTAAGAGGGGAATGGAGATTGACACCATTTGCAGAGTGTGTGGAGAGGCTGAAGAGACTATAGAACATGCTTTGTTCTTGTGCAGGAAAGCTCAGGTTGTGTGGAAGTTGGCACCAGTATCTTGGGACAATCAAAAGCTGACTGGAAATAACTTCAAAGAATGGTGGTGGTGGTTATCTACTATGAACTTCAAAGATATAGCTGAAGACAGAATCCAATTGTCCATTTATATTCTATGGTGGCTATGGAGGGCTCGGAATTTATGGGTCTTCGAACAACAATGGAAGCAAGAGAGGTGGATCATTCAAACTGCACTCAAAGATTGGCTGGATTTCAAAGCAAGCAACCTCAAGGATTAGCAGAAGGGCTCATTTGCTAGGCTAGGTCTAGTGTCAGTGGCCTTGGTAGATG